CTTTTGATCATTCAGTCATCTTGCTTACATTTACATTAAAGAGGCACTTGTAGGTCAGACAAATATATCATAACAGTTATAATGAAATAACCACAAATGTCTTTTCTGTGCTCACAGCATTATCAGTTTTATTCAACCCCCAAGTGACATTCAATCTTAGTACTTAGTACAGCATCCTTTTACAGTTATAACAGCTTTTAAACGTGAAGCATAGCTTGACACAAGTGTCTTGCAGCGATCTACGGGTATCTTCGCCCATTCTTCATGGGCAAAGGCCTCCAGTTCAGTCACATTCTTAGGCTTGCGCACTGCAACTGCTTTCTTTAAGTCCCACCAGAGGTTCTCAATCGGATTTAAGTCTGGTGACTGCGATGGCCACTCCAAAATGTTCCAGCCTTTCCTCTGCAACCATGCTCTAGTGGACTTGGAGGTATGCTTGGGATCATTTGTCCTGTTGAAAGGTCCAACGTCTCCCAAGCCTCAGGTGTGTGACGGACTGCATCACGTTTCCATCCAATATCTCCTGGTACTGAAGAGAATTCATGGTACCTTGCACACGCTGAAGCTTCCCTGTACCTGCAGAAGCAAAACAGCCCCAAAGCATGATTGACCCTCCACCATGCTTCACAGTAGGCAAGGTGTTCTTTTCATCATAGGCCTTGTTCTTCCTCCTCCAAACATAGCGTTGATCCATGGGCCCAAACAGTTCTAATTTTGTTTCATCAGTCCACAGAACACTATCCCACAACTTTTGTGGTTTGTCCACATGGCTTTTGGCATACTGCAGTCGACTCTTCTTATTCTTTGGAGACAGCAAGGGGGTACGCCTGGGAGTTCTGGCACGGAGGCCTTCATTACGCAGTGTGCGTCTTATTGTCTGGGCTGAAACTTCTGTACCCACATCTGACAAATCTTTTCTCAGTTCCTCAGCAGTCACACGGGGACTTCTCTCCACTCTACGCTTCAGGTAGCGCACAGCAGTCGAAGTCAGCATCTTCTTTCTGCCACGACCAGGTAGCGTTTCAACAGTGCCCTTTGCCTTGAATTTGCGAATGATGCTTCCTAAGGTGTCTCTTGGTATGTTTAACATCTTTGCAATCTTCTTATAGCCATTGCCCTTCCTGTGAAGAGAAATCACCTCTTCTCTTGTCTTCCTGGACCATTCTCTTGCCTTCACCATGTTTGTAACCACACCAGTAAATGTCTAGAAGGAGCTGAGTATCACAGTCATTTTAAAGCTGCCTAATTGGTGCTTATTATGCTTGATTGCTGCTCGGTGACATCCACAGGTGTTTTCAATACCTGATGGAAAGCACCTGTATGAACCTCTGTTCTTCAAAGTGGTAGTCTTTAAGGGGTTGAATAATTGTGGCAATGAAGAAACCACATAAGAACCATTTACTACTGTATTACATAAACAATTGATGTCATTTTAGTTGCATTTGGGTAGTTACAACGTCCTTGTAGGATTTGATTCTGAATACAATTCCAAATGTACACTATAGTCCCTAAACCCCTTTACAGCATTGGGGGTTGAATAATTTTGGCCACAACTGTATATATTCTTATTCTTATTATAGCCATATTTGCCACGCTAACTCCTCCCACAGTTTTTACACTACAAAGACAAGTAATATATCAAACGTGCGGATTGTTCCCGATCGGATTTGCTATTACTTTGTGGAACGTTTCGCCGAATTGTTCAAGAAAATATCGCGGTTTTTGCGGTGAAATTTTCCCATAGGAATGCATTGAGCAGCAGAGCACAGCTAGAGTGTGCAAAGGAAAAATCAGAAAAGCTTAAAATCAGAACATGATTTGTAAACTGCCATCACTCTGTCATTTTCAAGCCCACCTACAAATATCTTATATCAAAACGTTCAGCTAACCCTGCTGTCACTAAAAATGTCCATGGCTAGGACATACTCCTGATAGTTTTCAGAATATGACCATTTGTTTGCACCTCACCCCTCCCATTGACTTTCATTGAAACTCCACTCTAGATACCTGACATTTTAAGGGACGTTTTTAAACTGCGACTGTGCCTTCATTTTTAATATTGCAGAGACATACTATACATCAAAATTTAGGTCTGTTTCTTGTGATTGTCACAATATAAACCTTTTCACGGTAGCATTTATACTTTTAAAACTACAAGCGTTTGAAGTTGGCAATCGCCAGTGAACTTGGCAAGTTTAAAAAGCCTGTTTAGAACAGACATGCTGACATTCCTCTCAGAGTGAGTTGTCATAGCAACCCAGCTGTCTCAGCACAGTGAGCCTACTCCGCCCTCTCCAGGTGCAGCAACCAAAGGTCACTCAAGAGGCAGATGACTCACCAGGCTGGACTGTGAGCTTCAAAATACAAGCTGAAATGCATTTCTCACTATCAGGCTTGCAATGTGCACTGCTTACATTTCATCAATCATTTGGTAAAGGTTGCGGCAAGAACACTTTACACAATTTCCCCAGAAATTGTAGATTTTCTAGGTGTTCTTGCAAGACCACTTATTGTTATCTCACATATATATTCTTATTATTATAGCCAAATTTACCACCCTAACTCCTCCCACAGTTTTTTACACTACATAGACAGTAATATACCGAAACGTGCGGATTGTTCCCGATTGGTGTGCTATTACTTTGTGGAACGTTTCGCCGATTGGTTCACAAAATATCGCCATTTTTGTGGTGAACGTTTCCCATAGGAATGAATGGCAGAATGTTCAAAACTAGAGTGTGAGCTGACAAAAGCTAGAGTGTGAGCTTAAAAATCAGGACATGATTTCTAAACTGCCATCACTCCCCTCATTTTCAAGCCCACCTACACAAATCTTATATCAAAACGTTCCGCTATCCCTGCTGCCACTAACAATGTCCACGGCTAAGCCATAGTCCTGATAGTTTTCACAATATGACCATTTGTTTGCAGCTCATGCTCCACATTGACATTCATTGAAACTCCACTCTAGCCACCTCAACTTTGAAGGGCAATTTCTAAACTGCGACTGTGCCTTAATTTTTAATATTTCAGAGACATACTATGCATCAAAATGTAGGTCTGGGTCTTGTGATTCTCACAATACAAAGCTCTTCGGTGTAGGATTTATATTTTCTAAACTACAACCGTTTGAAGATGGCAACTGCCAGTGAAGTGAGCAAGTTGGAGCAGTTTGTTTTTAACCGCTCTACTCTGCCCTTGCTGTAGAGTGAGTTGCCATAGGAACCCAGGTGTGTGATCAGGCAGCAGAGTGACAAAAGCTAGAGTGTGAGCTGAAAAATAAAAGTTGAAATGCATTTCTCACTCTATCAAGTTTGCCATGTGCACTTTTTAAATTTGATCAATCAATTGGTTAGTGTAATTTTCACTATCTTTACTTACTCCAAACACTCCACACAGTTACTCTGCCCACTCCATAAAGTTACTCTGCCCAGTCCAACCTTTTCATAGTTACTCCAGCCACTCCAACCACACAACAGTCACTCCGCCCACTCCACACAGTTACTCCGCCCACTCCAGTTGTAGACTACTGGTGGAGGCAACACTTCACACACAATTTCCCCAGAAATTGTAGCTTTTCTAGTTTAGTATTGTCCTCCAAATTTAATATGGTTTCTGTGGCTTCATTCCACAGCTGTCAGAATTTTGCCCAGTAAATACAAATTTAAGTCCTCATGCACACTGGACGTTTTCAGAAGGCTGGTAACGTTAACGGTGTAAAATGTCAAATGCCAAAAACAGCCGCTGTAAAAACATCCAGTGTGCATGAGGACTAAAGCTGAACTCCAAGTACCAAAAACTCATTTAAATATATTCCTAGCCATACAAGATGTAAATCTACTTTGAGTGCACCAAATGCCTTTGCACACCAAGATTCAACTAAAAATTGCATGGCTCCTGTGGACAATGGGGCTATTTACTAAAACTGGAGAGTGCAAAATCTGCTGCAGCTCTGCATAGTAACCAATCAGCTTCCAGGTTTTAGGGTTAATTTACACTGCAGCTGATATAAACTCACGTTTAGGAACTTTTCAGCATTTTTTTTCAGCAGCCCCAGAATTCTCCCTAATGTTTCCTATGTGTCCATGTTCACTATGTTGTTTACAGGCAGTTGAGTTTACAGTTGTTTTTTTTGAATGCACCAAACTTGCGTTCAGGAGTAGATTTTATCAGCGTTTCAAATGACAAATGGTTGTAAATGTGTAAACGCATTTAACCGTGTTTGCGTTTAGAAGCTTTTTTTAACTGTTCCATGACCAGATGCTGCCCAGAGCCTTTTTTCATCATCAGAAATGCATGCAAAGTGTTTTCCATGTATTCAAATGGACCCGGTACACCAGCGCAGTCAGTTCCAGGTTTTGCGTGAAGGAAAAAAATGGTAGAACGTGCTGCATTATGCTCATGATGGGATCCATAGTGAAGACAACCAGAAAAGACAGGTCATCTCAACACATACTACACTCTCAGCTTCTGCTCTCTCTATTTCTCCTAAAATGTCTGAAATAGTTAATTTTTTACTATTTTTCAGTGCATTCTGGGCATTTTGGAAGGTCTCCTGAAGTTATCTTAAAAAAAAACGCTTCTAAATGCAAACGCACATAAACGCGGTATGCAAACGCAGCTAACAGACGTTTTTTAACCTACGTTTTCTAGCAGTCAGTTTCCATCGTTCAGAAGTGTTTTCCAAATTCCCCGTGTACATGGAGCCTTATTGTCAAAGCTTAACTGAACAAGCTGAAGTTAGAAGCTGATTGGCTCCCATGCACAGCTGCACCAGATTGTAAGTGCTCCAGTTTTAGTAAATCTAAATGTCTGCTTATCCCAAAGTTCAACCCATTAAGCAGGAATTTCCCAAAATTCAAACTGTGAATGACCCGCATAACGGTTAGAATTTGGAAAAATCCAAACCCATATTAACCACCTCCCGCCCGCCATATAGTAATATGACGGGCGCAAGGTGGTTCTCTCGTTCTGGGATGACGTCCTCCCATTCTCACTGCGCATGCGCGGCTCTGGGAGCGCGCAGCGTGGCGATCGGCGGATCACCGATCACGGAAAGAGCCGAAGATGTCTGCTCGGTCATGTGATCACCTGTGTCCAATCACAGCTGATCACATGTAAACAGGGAAATGCCGGTTATCGGCATTTCTCTCCTCTCGAGCTGTCACGCTGACAGCTTGAGAGGAGAGCCAGAAATCGGCTTTCCGCGGAGGGGACATGTACACTGATCATCAGGGCACTGATGATCAGTGTGCCCTGATGATCAATGTAGCCCCAGCATTGCCACCTGTCAGTGTCCATCAGTGCCTTATGTCAGTACTCATCAGTGCCTCGTGCCAGTGTCCATCAGTGCCACATATCAGTGCCTACCAGTGCACATCAATGCCACATATCAGTGCCCATCTGAGCTGCCTTTCAGTGTCACCCATCAGTGCCAGTCAGTGCCACCTATCAATGCCAATCAGTGCCAGTCAGTGCCACCTATCAGTGCCAGTCAGTGCTGCCTATCAGTGTGCACCTGTGCCGCCTATCAGTGCCTGTCAGTGCCGCCTAACAGCGCCAGTCAGTGCCGCCTATCAGTGCTGCCTACCAGTGCCATGTATCAGTGCTGCCTTTCAGCGCCCATCAGTGATGCCTGTCAATGCCCATCAGTGCCACCTACCAGTGCCTCCTCATCAGTGCCACCTATCAGTGTCCATCAGTGCAGCCTATCAGTGCAGCCTCATTAGTGCACATCAGTGAAGGAGAAAAATCACTTATTTACAAAATTTCATAACAAAAACTAAGAAAAAACATTTTTGGTTTTTGGTTTGTTTAAGAAAAAATAAAAAAAACCCAGAGGTGATTAAATACCACCAAAATAAGCTCTATTTGTCACAAAAAAATGATAAAAATTTCATATGGGTACAGTGTTGCATGACTGCGCAATTGTCATTCAAAGTGCGACAGCGCTGAAAGCTGGAAATTGGCCTGGGCAGGAAGGGGGTAGAAGTGCCCTGTAGGCAGGAAGGGGGTATAGGTGCCCTGTAGGCAGGAAGGGGGTAGAAGTGCCCTGTAGGCGAGGGGTTAATAACACAACATTACCACCTGGAGGTTTCTTGAATATCGATTCTATACTTGTATATATGGAGAGGCTGCACCAGCTACTTCCTGAGATGACAGCAGACACTTAAATTGCCACATAACAAAGTGCTGGGAGGATTACATGAAGGAAAAATGAATACCCCCCCCCCCCCCCCCCCAACCTTTGTAGTTAAGAAAGCTGTCATTTTACAGGCGGTTGCCGTGGTCCTGCTCCTGTGTCCAGCTATGGCATGAAAATTCAGTTGAGAGCCCTCATAAGCACACTGGTGACAGTTATCAGCAGAGGCATGATTTGAATGTTACTGGCTGAACCTGCTCATTTGCATATCTTTGCAAAGGATTCTGGGAAATGGGTTTTGCCACCTCAGGGTTGATCAAATCTGAATTATTTGTGTTTTTAGATGGTTTATAGAGCCAGAAAGATTTGGAAGTGAACATAGAAGCCAAAAAAGAGATTTTAATGTTAAATTCAAATTTGACTCTCCATAGGTTGATATTTTGGTAGTTCGGGCGGTTTAAAAGGAGTCGAGGTTACTTAGTAGTTGGAGAGGATGGGAAAGCTCAGTGACACCAGGTGAAGGATCTCTGGGGCCAACCCAGTGACACTGAGGTGAGGATCTCTCTGAGTGGAAGTTCATTGATACTCATGCGAGGATCGTTCAGCGATTACTGACAGGAGTGATACCAACATTAGGATCTCTCTGGGGAGTTCAGTGATACTGACAAAGGGGATCTCATCCAATGAAGTTCAATGATACTGACATATGAGGATCTCACTGGAGAAGTTCAGTGACACCTAGGCCATAGATACTTCTCAGAGCCTAGAACCCCATTCCAGAACACTTGGAAGCTGAGCATGATGGTTGTTCCCTCTCATTTTTAAGTGTTTTTGCATTTGAGACCCCTTACTGTTATCTCACATATAGATTCTTATTATTGACAAATTTACCGCCCTAACAACTCCCACAGTTTTTGCACTACATAGACAAGTAATATACCGAAACGTGCGGATTGTTCCCGATCGGATTGCTTTTACTTTGTGGAACGTTTCACCAAATGGTTCACGAAATATCAGCGTTTTTGTGGTGAAATTTTCCCATAGGAATGAATGGCGCAACTAGAGTGGGAGCTGACAAAGCTAGAGTGTGGAAGGAAAAATCAGAACATGATTTGTAAACTGCCATCACTCCCTCATTTTCAAGCCCACCTACACAAATCTTATATCAAAACGTTTCAGCTATCCCTGCTGCCACTAACAATGTCCACGGCTAAGCCACAGTCCGGATAGTTTTCACAATATGACCATTTGTTTGCAACTCACGCTGCCCATTGACTTTCATTGAAACTTCACTCACAGCCACCTGAAATTTGAAGGGACATTTCTAAACTGCGACTGTGCCTTCATTTTTAATATTTCAGAGACATACTATACATCCAAATGTAGGTCTGGGTCTTGTGATTCTCACAATATAAAGCTCTTTGCTGTAGGATTTATACTTTTAAAACCACAACCATTTGAACATGGCAACCACCAGTGAACTGAGCAAGTTGGAGCAGTTTGTTTATAAAAGTTCCTCTCAGCTTGCACTAGAGTGAGTTGCCATAGCAACCCAGCTGTGTCAGCAGTCAGCAGAGTGACCAAAGCTACTCCGCCCACTCCAGTTGTAGACTACTGCTGCAGGCAAGAACACTTCACACAATTTCCCCAGAAATTGTAGATTTTCTAGTTTCTCAATTAATATGTTTATTTTGATGAACCAAAATGTTTCATTTGTGTGCCTTTGTTACATTTTTGCACATCACATTAACCAAATGAGATATAGTTTATGGTTTACAAGCAATGTCAGTAGATAGCCTAATGACGACAACAACATCCGAAAAACAAAGCTTGGACCAGGTTTGCCATACCGTTTTTTGTTTGCTGACACAAAGGTAAGTATAATGACTTGAATTCCAACTTGAAGAATATGTAAAGCCAACATTTCATATTCCTGACATGTGCCTGCTATACCATGTGTAGCACTACCCTCTTGAGGGCCATTGGATTTGTTTTGGGTCCAGCTCTGCACAGCCAGGCAACATGCATTTTCCACACTTGCAGTCAGTAAACAGTCCTTGAGCTGGTTTTTAGTTGCATTTATTAAAGGGTTAACAATTTGGATGGTGTCTGGGGATATATGGAATGCCCAAGGAACTGAAAACTTGAGGATAACTTCTTAGCACCCTGTACACTGTGTACAAAAAGACATGGATCTGCAAAATATAGCACTGTCTCTTTAAGGAGCTCTAAGGTCCCCTTGATGTACCTTCTCAGACCGAGATGAATCCTCCTCTTCACCCAGTTGCACTGAGGGTATCCTCGGGCAAGGGGCAAGATCTAGCAATGAAGTAGTCCCAGATGAGAACTAGTTGGGTATTGCACCTGACTGCCTTCTCCCTTAATTTGGCCCAGGGGGTATAGGAGTACTCACACTATCCTGTCCAGTCAGCGTGGTGGGTTGGTAGCTGCTTTCAGGCCTTACGCTTGTCTTACTCCTTCCCTGCTGCTCAGGATGTTCTCCCTAAGAGACCTTGGACAGTGAAGATCCTCCTTTCAGCATCCTGCCTGTAGGTAGGCTCCCCTCCTTGGGGCCCCTCCACTCCAGCCTTCTCTCACTTCATCTTCCTCCTGATTGGAAGGGTAGGAGGGCTCCAGAAGACCTGACTGCAGAGCCTCCCAGCCTGTCCTGATGTGAACTCACTACCTCACTCCCAGGCTGACTCATCCCAGGCTGCTACACACCTTCAAAACTACATAACAACCATAGCTACCCAGAAGGCACTACATATGTACATGTATAAAAAAGTATCCTGTTCTCTTTGTAGTGCTTCCTTTGCATAAAATCCTTGGAAAGCAGCCCCCCTGCTTTCCTATTAAAAACTGATCTCACTAAGCATGAGAGCACAGTCTTGTTAGATCTCTAGTTATGCTGGGAACTCAGTGTGCTCTCTTTCAGTGACCAGACTTACCGTGACACCCCCCATGCACAGCCATTCACTGGGAAGATCAGTGTCCTGCTGTTCCTCCTCCTCTAGTTCTTATGCAGCTGAGAACAGAGGGAATGTGATCACATATAATGTTTTTATATATCTGTACACAAATGTTTTGCCTTTCATTTCTATTTTAAACTGGGTTGATTTACAAGGTGAAGAATATTGTAAAGGAGTCAAAAGTGCAGAATAACGTGGGTTGGCACGCCAGGTATTTGAACATGCGCTGCATTAGCATACTGTGTGGTTTGACAAGTAATATTCATTTGCTTTGCACACATTACATAAAGAGTGAACGGAGACCATACGAGAATTCAGAGCATTGTTTATATTGATGCATCTTACAATCAAATGGCTCTAATAGGCTGGAATTAGACATGCATCTAAACCCACCAATATGACAATGTATATAATGGTGCACTGAACCTTTTCTTATTTTTTTTTCTCTCAACAGGCAGAGAGATATGTGTGGGTTAATAGCACATCAGCTCACTCCCAAAATGTTGCCAAGGCGAAATACAAGTTTTTGTTCGGTGAGTCAATGCCAACAGAGGAGGACAAGGCACCAGAGACTGGTCAGTAAATAGTTTTGCATGCAAACCATGAGCTGTTCTTTCAGTAATCTTAAAAGGTGCAGGGCCTTTTTATAAAGTGTTTTGCCTGTCTTGGCAGAGGAAGCCACTAGTAGTTAAGGTTTTTGTGAACTGATATAATTCCCCCTGGGAACCGAGGAAACGAGTGACTTTTTATAAAAAGAAAGCTCTTCCGTAAAATAACTCCAGGAAAATCTCAGCTAAAGGCAAATTCTAGGCACAAAAACCTTTCTTCAAATATATTCCTCAGTAAACACATATTGTATCAATTCACTTTGTATGCACCAAATGACTTTGAAAATTTAAAAGTAGCAGGGACATCATCACAGTTCTGTGTACAACCTGAGCAGAGCAGTGGGAGAGGCTCAACAGGTCCACCCACTGCTGGCTGCCAGCAGAAAACTACAGGAGGGGGTAGAGATGAGACCAGTCACTCTGCACAAGGACAGAGAACTGGTCTATATTGCAAGAAGCTTATGCTCTTAAGAAAAGTACAGACGATGTTTCATGATTGATTACTGCACACATCTGGAAGAAAAATACACAAATGACCTTTGAGAGAGCGGCAGAAAAAAAAAAATGATGCGGTTCTAGCGTGTTCCTGATCTATGGCATTTTTTGTTTTGTCTGCATTCCTGGAGTTGTGTAGCCAATATTCAGTGTCTAAAGCAGGGGTAGGCAACATGCGGCTCTCTAGCTGTTGTGGAACTACATTTCCCATGATAC